CCTGGAACTACAAAGGCACTATCAAACGGGAGATCAATCAGCCAACTGGCCACAGCTTGAGGAACCCCTAGCTTGAAGAACCCTTAGCCACCTCTGGAGGAACCCTGGTTGCGAATGACTGCTACAAGGTTAAACAATTGTCTCTCTAATATCCTTCTCAGCTTTAGTGTTTGTAGTGTTTGCCTGGAACTACGAAGGCACTATCAAACAGGAGAGCAATCAGCCAAATGGCCAGAGCTTGAGGAACCCCTAGCCACCTCTGGAGGAACCCTGGTTGTGAATGACTGCTACAAGGTTTCAAGGCCAATCCTATTCCTTTATCTCTGTTCTGACTAGTTACTCATCACTATTCGTATTACTAAAAAAATGTCCAAAAAGATTGAGCATCCATAGACAAATGGCTCCCCTATGTTGTGACCAGGTCTTTCAAGAAGCCTCTTATCATATTAGGAGATCCTTGAGTTCTGTTACACATTCACTCTAAGACTGTTAGTAGTGTAAACAATTGTCTCTCTAATATCCTTCTTAGCTTTAGTGTTTGTTGTAGTGTTGGCCCTGGAACTACAAAGGCACTATCAAACGGGAGAGCAATCAGCCAACTGGCCACAGCTTGAGGAACCCCTAGCTTGAGGAACCCCTAGCCACCTCTGGAGGAACCCTAGTTGTGAATAACTGCTACAATGTTTCAAGGCCAATCCTATTCCTTTATCTCTGTTCTGACTAGTTACTCAATCACTATTCGTATTACTAAAAAAATGTCCAAAAAGATTGAGCATCCATAGACAAATGGCTCCCCTATGTTTGTGACCAGGTCTTTCAAGAAGTCTCTTATCGTATTAGGAGATCTTTGAGTTCTGTTACACATTCACTCCAGGACTGTTAGTAGTGTAAACAATTGTCACTCTAATATCCTTCTCAGCTTTAGAGTTTGTGGAGGAAACGGCAATACATCACAATGGAGCACAAACTATGTATGTAGACACTCATCACACTGCCGCCACAACGAAGACCCCCCCCCCCCCCACCCCCTATGTGGCTTCCAGGAGCTATCTCATATATATGTAATAAATGAGTGTGATAAGCCCTGGCAATCAATCACTTGTGCTGTCAATGACTCCTTGGCACCGGTCATATGCATACTGTAGATGCGGTCTCTCGGCGGGTGGGCCGTAAACACGCACTATGCAGTTACCAGCGGCTAACGGAAAGTTCCCGATCTCTACCTGTCAATCACGGCGGCCACATGATCAGAAACACCGACTCGCCTGCCGGCATCTGAAACCCCTAAAAGGCCCAGGAGGCACCGGCGCCAATGGGGTTAATGTGGTATTAAATCCAAAAACAAAAATTGTAATATAATTGCAGTTTTCTAATCCTTACATGTGGCTGCATTACTTTTCTTTTTTTTAGGCTTTTTTCCTTTAGTTTCACCTGGTGATCCAGCTAGTAAGACACTTCCTGTCTTAGAGTGTCTCCAATCTGGATGGAGGAGCAACACCCTTGGGCAGGAGCATTGTCAGTCTTGGCAGATGGGAGGCGGGTGACACTCCCTCCTTGTTCCCCTCCTCATTGGGCGCCAAGTGTGGGTAACATGGGGGGCCTACTCCAGGGTTGGGCTTCATCTGGGCTCCGCTAAGCACCTTGAACAGGGTCACTAACTTACACATGGGGTACCTCTACCTGGGAGGGCTCAGTGAGCCAGTCACGTTAGGCCATGCTGCAACTGCCCCGCAATCACACACAATACGCTCGGTTTCAGCGCACTTGTCTGGTATTTAGGGGGTTAAAACAGGCTATTAGGAGGGGATATGACACCTCCTCACCGCCTGTCAAACTGGTCACTCTTCAGAGAGCAAAGCAAGCCCTTACTGGCAGGATCAACAGGTGAAAATAAAGGGGAAAAAGACAAAAAAGAAAACTAATGCAGCCAACAACAATTTATAAAATTTTTTCATTTTTGGGTTTAGTACTGCGCGGACATGATTTTGCACATTTTTTACACGTTCCCGCTCATCGCATGTAGTCCCAGGCACAGTCATTTCAATGGGCTATCATGAACCTTCTTACAGGGTTTTGCAGAGATCTAGGTAATCCTCACTCACATTCGTTATGACTGGCACCAAATTGCGTATTTAAATCCCCTAATCGCAAGCTGTATACATCCCAGACACTTCCTTCATACATTCAATAGCGAGCGTTCACTTCCTGTTTGTTCCCGTACAATTGCGTGACATCGAGGTGTACTGTGCGTGATGACGTTACTTCCAGTGATGCCCCGACGCGTTTCGTCACTCTGACATTTTTATGAGGCAGGTAGAGTAGAGTCGGGTATTGACATATAGCTGCTATATTTGTATAGAAAATCCTAGTGCTGGTGATAATATATAATACGTGTGTGTGTGGGGGGGGGGGGGGGTTATTAGAAATTAGGAAGAAATTAGGAATTTAGGAATTAGAAATTATGAAGACATATTATTGGATATGTTTTATAGCAAAAATATAAAAATTGAAAAAAAAAATGTGTGTCTAAGTGGTCAGTACTTCCACCTGGCAGTAGTAGGGTTGTCAATTTGAATCCCAACCATGACACCACCTAACTGGCGTTTGCATGTTCTCCCTGTGCCTGTGTGGGTTTCCTATATTTTGGCTAAAATTTATGAAGAAATTAGAAGTTAGGAAATTAGAAATTATGAAGACATTTTTATTGGATATCCGGTGTCACCCCGTATAGGTTGCATGCCAACAATCCCCGCAGGATGGATCGGATCTGCGGATTGGGGAGCATAATGGATCGGAGTCTGATCCATTATGTTCAATCTGCAGATCCGATCCATTCTGGGGGAATCGTCGGGGGGGTGTCATCACCCAACCCTAGGGACGCCTCTGCCTGTGTGGGCTTTGGCAAAAAAGTAGGCAGAGACCCGGGACAGCCGAGGCTCTCATGTACATTGCTGGATCACAATGGGGCTCAGGCTAGCATTGAGGGAGCTGGGGGCCCCTGCTGCACACAGAAGGTTTTTTTACCTTCATGCCTAGAACCGCTTTAAGTAAGGGCAGATGATCCATGTAGCATTTACTTCCTAGAATCAACCCACCCTTAGCTCAGGCATGCAGGCAGGAGGATGTGCTTAGATGAGGAAGCCCCTTCTTCCATGAGGACTCCTGGGATGTATGACATCATTCTGGCCTAGGCCAGAAACCAGGAAGACACTGAAGAAACATATATTAAAAAAAGTTATAAAACACATAAATATAATCCACCTTCCTATCGATGTTCTACTAGCAGCATACGTAGTGAACATTGCTCATGCTGTTTCAGAGAGTTTAGTTTCATTACTTTTGGGATGTCCTCTTAGTCGAGCAGCCAGGGGTTGTACCGCAGTCACCTACCGGAGGGGAGAAAGGGGACGTCTCTGTCTAATTCCCCCGGGGAAGTGGAAAAATCTCAGATGTCCGCCCATTGACACAAACTCCGGTCGTAGGAGGGGCCTATAAAATTTTTTATGTCATTTAAGAAAGCGATGGCCAATCTCAAAGCTGTATAAAAAGTAGTCCCATTCCATGGAACCAAAGGCCTTTTCTATGTCCAGACTCACCACAGTACCGCAGACCCCAGGTGAAACCTCCTCTTCACCCAGCTGCACTGAGGGTATCTCTGGCCAAGGGATTCCAACATCTAGCAATGAAGTAGTCCCGGATGAGGACTAGCTGAGTCTTGGACCTGATCGCCCCTCTCCATCTATCTGGCCCCAGGGGTGTAGGAGTCCTCACAGTGTCCTGTCCCGTTAGCTTGGTGGGTAGTATCTGCTTTCAGCCCTTATGCTGGGTTGACTCCTTCCCAGCTGACAGGATTTCCTCAGAGACAGTGGCACAGTGGAGATCCTTCTGTCCAGCAATCAGCCTATAGGTAGGCTCCATTCCTATGGCCCCCACCCAGGCTCCAATCTCCAGAACCTTCGTTCAGTCCATCTTCTACCCGACTCCTCCGCTGCACAGGCTCTGTCATATTTAAGAGTTGCCCTTGGCCACCATGCCCAGTCTACTGCCTGGGGATTGGCCAAGTTCCCTTAAACATTCAAATCTGGGCCTCCTCCCCTCCTCCAGAAAGTGCTAGAAGTTTCTGGAAGGTTGGTAGGGCTCCAGAAGCCCTGACCTGTACAGCCTCCCAGCCTGTCCCGAGGTGAACCTTCTACCTCACTCCCAGGCTGACTTTTTCCAGGCTTCTAACGAACAAAAATCCTATCAACCTAGAGGGTGCTACACAAACATCACGTGTTTTTAGGGTGTTGTCACCAGGCATTAATCCCGTATGATCTGGGTGTATACTGGATTGGACAACTCGATTAAACCCGAGGGAAATTATGTTTGCTAAAATGTTATCATCTGTTTGTGGCAAGGGCAAATTCAGAAATGGCAGTCTGGACCTTGGCAAGGGTAAGAGATATCTCCAGCATGACAATTTGTTTGGAGGCCAGAAAAGATCGTAGATATTGGGAGATTCTCCTCAGTTGTTCCACTTAGAGGCGTAATATTGCTGATAAAAGGAGACAAAAACTCAAATCGCCTCCTGTGGGTCCTTAACAGGGAGCCCCGGGAGAGCAGGGGCCAATAACCATGGGATGCCTCAATCCATAACCATAGACCTCTCCGTGTTCTGGCTCTGAATGAAGTATCCAGAAGATGTAGATGACGCTCCTCACCATAAAAACAGAATCTCTGTGAGGAGAGGTATTATTATTATACAGGATTTATGGCACCAACAGTTTGCTCAGCGCTGTACAATATAACGGGAGACAATACAGCAACAATACAGTTCAATACAAGAGGGATAGGAGGGGCTGATCCTGGGAGCTTACAATCTAAGAGGGAGGGCCTGATCCTGGGAGCTTACAATCTAAGAGGGAGGGCCTGATCCTGGGAGCTTACAATCTAGGAGGGAGGGGCTAGTGGTAAAAAAGGTAATAACTGTGGGGGATGGACTGGTAGGAGGAGTAGAAGATTCCATTATTAGCTGAGGGCGGGATAGGCTTCCCTGAAGAGATCAGTTTTCAGAGATCACCCAAAAGTGAGCAGAGTAGGCGATAGTCTGATAAATTGGGGGTAGAGAGTTCCAGAGGATTGGCGAAGCTGTGGAGAAGTCCTGAAGATGAGCATGGGAGGAGGAGACAAGGGAGCTAGAGAGCAGGAGGTCATGGGAGGAGCGGAGAGGACGGTTTGGGTGATATTTGGAGACAAGATCGTTGATATAATTACGGGCGGAGTTATACATGGATTTATATGTTATTGTTAATGTTTTGAATTTTATCCATTGGGCAATGGGAAGCCAGTGGAGGGATTGGCAGAGAGGGGTGGAGGACACTGAGTGGAGGTCAGTGGAGGGATTGGCAGAGAGGGAATGGAGGACACTGAGAGGAGGTCAGTGGAGGGATTGGCAGAGAGGAATGGAGGACACTGAGAGGAGATCAGTGGAGGGATTGGCAGAGGGGGTGGAGGACACTGAGTGGAGGTCAGTGGAGGGATTGGCAGAGAGGGATGGAGGACACTGAGTGATGGAGGACACTGAGTGCAGGTCAGTGGAGGGATTGGCAGAGAGGGTGGAGGACACTGAGCAGAGGTCAGTGGAGGGATTGGCAGAGAGAGGTGGAGGACACTGAGCGGAGGTCAGTGGAGGGATTGGGAGAGAGGGGTGGAGGGAACACTGAGTGGAGGTCAGTAAAGGGATTGGCAGAGGGGGGTGGAGGACACTGAGCGGAGGTCAGTGGAGGGATTGGCAGAGAGGGATGGAGGACACTGAGTGGAGATCAGTGGAGGGATTGGCAGAGAGGGATGGAGGACACTGAGTGGAGATCAGTGGAGGGATTGGCAGAGGGGGTGGAGGACACTGAGTGGAGGTCAGTGGAGGGAATGGCAGAGAGGGTGGAAGAAACTGAGTGGAGGTCAGTGGAGGGAATGGCAGAGAGGGTGGAGGAAACTGAGTGGAGGTCAGTGGAGGGATTGGCAGAGAGGGGTGGAGGACACTGAGTGGAGGTCAGTGGAAGGATTGGCAGAGAGGGGTGGAGGACACTGAGTGGAGGTCAGTGGAGGGATTGGCAGAGAGGGGTGGAGGGACACTGAGTGGAGGTCATTGGAGGGATTGGCAGAGAGGGGTGGAGGACACTGAGTGGAGGTCAGTGGAGGGATTGGCAGAAAGGGGTGGAGGACACTGAGTGGAGGTCAGTGGAGGGATTGGCAGAGAGGGGTGGAGGACACTGAGTGGAGGTCAGTGGAGGATTGGCAGAGAGGGGTGGAGGACACTGAGTGGAGGTCAGTGGAGGGATTGGCAGAGAGGGGTGAGGACACTGAGTGGAGGTCAGTGGAGGGATTGGCAGAGAGGGGTGGGAGGACACTGAGTGGAGGTCAGTGGAAGGATTGGCAGAGAGGGGTGGAGGACACTGAGTGGAGGTCAGTGGAGGGATTGGCAGAGAGGGGTGGAGGACACTGAGTGGAGGTCAGTGGAGGGATTGGCAGAGAGGGGTGGAGGACACTGAGTGGAGGTCAGTGGAGGGATTGGCAGAGGGGGTGGAGGACACTGAGTGGAGGTCAGTGGAGGGATTGGCAGAGAGGGGTGGAGGACACTGAGTGGAGGTCAGTGGAGGGATTGGCAGAGAGGGGTGGAGGACACTGAATGGAGGTCAGTGGAGGGATTGGCAGAGAGGGGTGGAGGACACTGAGTGGAGGTCAGTGGAGGGATTGGCAGAGGAGGGTGGAGGACACTGAGTGTGAGGTCAGTGGAGGGATTGGCAGAGGGGGGTGGAGGACACTGAGTGGAGGTCAGTGGGGGATTGGGAGAGGGTGGAGGAACTGACTGAGTGGAAGGGTCAGTGGGGTGAGGGATTAGCATTGGGGGGGTGGAGGACACTGAGTGGAGGTCAGTGGAGGCAGATTGGGCCACTGTAGTGGGGTCAGTGGGGGTAGTATGGAGGGGGTGGAGGACACTGAGTGGAGGTCAGTGGAGTGGGGATTGGCAGAGGGGGGTGGAGGACACTGAGTGGAGGTCAGTGGAGGGATTGGCAAGAGGGGTGGAGGACACTGAGTGGGAGGTCAGTGGAGGGATTGGCAGAGGGGGGGTGGAGGGACACTGAGTGGAGGTCAGTGGAGGGATTGGCAGAGGGGGGGTGGAGGACACTGAGTGGAGGTCAGTGGGAGGGATTGGCAGAGAGGTGGTGGAGGACAACTGAATGGAGGTTCAGTGACCCGGGATTGGCAGATGGGGGGGGTGAGGACACTGAGTGGAGGTCAGTGGAGGGATTGGCAGAGGGGGGGTGGAGGACACTGAGTGGAGGTCAGTGGAGGTGGGCAGTTAGAAGGGGTGGAGGACACTGAATGGTGTCAAGTGGAGGGATTGGCAGAGAGGGGTGGAGGACACTGAGTGGAGGTCAGTGGAGGGATTGGCAGAGACGGGGTGGAGGACACTGAGTGGAGGGTCAGTGGAGGGATTGGCAGAGGGGGGTGGAGGACACTGAATGGAGGTCAGTGGAGGGATTGGCAGAGGGGGGTGGAGGACACTGAGTGGAGGTCAGTGGAGGGTGGCAGAGAGGGGGGTGGAGACATCAGAGTGGAGGTGTCAGTGAGAGGATTGCAGAGTGGGTGAGGAGTGGACACTGATGGAGGTCAGTGGGAGGGATGGCATGAGAGGGTGGGACCACTGAATGGAGGTCAGTGGAGGGATTGGCAGAGGGGTGGAGGACACTGAGTGGAGGTCAGTTGGAGGGATTAGCAGTAGGGGGGTGGCATGAATTTTAGATGATGCAGTATAAGCATAGGTTGAAGAAATGGGTTTTCCACTTCAAGAGGGCAGTCCCTATAGGATACAACCCTTCTAAGGCGGCATTCACAGTTCAGCGTTTTGTAGCTCGATGCTCCAAAAAAGCTCAAACTTAAAAGTCAGTTGTTCTCTCTGAGGGAGGTTGGTTTCTTTAAGTTTGAGCGTTTTTTTCGAGCTACAAAACGCTGAGTGTGAATGCCATGCTCTTAGAGGAATAACATGGATGGGCTGAGGTTTCTTTCTGTCATTACCGACTGACCCCAACCCAGCCCGGACACACCCTAGAGAGTGTGGAGATTGTAGGGAGAAAGCTGACACAAGTCTGGTTACTAAAACATGAACAGGTGTGCGTGGCAGGTTGGTGTACCGGCATTTTTTCTCAGCCGGGTGGAATCCAGAGGTTAAGTAATGTCAGAAGTGCTTTATGGCCACAACAGAAGGTTCCATCATACCTGTGGATCCTAAATGCTAAGCATGTCTCAGGATTCCCAAGAATGTTTTTTTCATTGAAAAAAGTAGAGATTCCATTAACTAAATTGAGCGTACAGCAGGCAATGTTTGTCAGAGCGATCCCTCAATGACCCTAAGGGCCTCACATGCACTGTCTGCTCTTAAACCGGAGTTTAGGAGAGATTGGCGATTTTTTTTGCCAAAGCCCCTAAACTTAACTCAATAAAAGCCTACGGGTCCATGTACACACAGACTTTTACCAGAGCTTAGGGCGGCACAGAAGAGTTTGGGCGACAGAATTTGGTTTCTGTTTGTAGGGAATTTATGACAACAGCGTATAGGGGCAGGGATGAGTTAGAAGTAGTGGGTGGCGGCTCTAGAATTCTGCCAGGGGGGGGAATAGTCATAGGGCCACGAATTGTCAGATGTTTGAAGGTGGCAGGTGTTAGGGGTAAATGTATGGGATAAAGTTAGCAGATGGAGTAGTTGAGTGATTGGGATAGTTTGTGTAATAATTGGAGAAGGGGTGTTGAATGGAGGTTGGGATGGATAGTGAATTATGAGGATTGATAGGTGTGGATAGATAGATGGGTGTTTGAGGGGTTGGGGGATGATGTTTGTTAGGACAATAAAGTGGATTTAGGAAGGAGATATGTGGTTAGATGGGGTGATGATCTGTTTGTGAAGTGGAGTTGATTATGGGATTTGACATACACAACAATTGTTTGGGATTCTGGGTTAGGGTTTGGATGTTAGTTAGACATTAGCCCCATAATACATGGTGTGAGAGGGGGAGGTGGATAAGGTATTTGGGATGGTACCCCTCCGTTTTGTGGATTGAGTGTATTGTGTAGTTAGTTGGGGGGGGGGGGGGGGGGGGGGGGGGGGGTGGGGTGGGGGGGGGTTAGGTTGATTGTGGATAGTTTGGGGTTGTAAGGGGGTGGGTGTTTGGGGTTGGTGTGGGGTGGTGATGGGGGGTTTGGGTGGGGGTTGGGGGATATTGGGGGTAATTGGGGGGATAGGGGGTTGGATTTGTTGGGTTGGGGGGGGGGGGGAGTAGTGTGGATTGTTGATGAATTGGGGTGGGGATAATTATGGGTGTGAGGGGTTTTTGTGGGGGGGGGGGGGCAAGGGAGTTTTGGGTGGGGGGGGATAGGGGGGGGGGGGAGGGGGTGGGGGGGGAGTTGGGGATTGGTGGGGGGGAAGTTGGTGTTTGGGTTGGGGGGGTTGATTTGTGGTGGTGGGGTTGGATGGGGGGGGTTGGGGGGGTGGGAATTTGGGGGTGGGGGTTTTTTAGATAGGGTGGGGTTATTAATTAGATTAGGGATGTTGTGGTTTGTAAAAGGTTGAATGGGGTGGGATTTTGTGGGTAGGGGTAGGGGGGGGTTTTGGGGATGGGGGGGTGTTAATGGTGGGGGTTTTTGGGGGTATATTGGGGGGTTTGATAGTGGGTCAAAGGGGTTGGGGGTAAGGGAGGGGGATAGTTGGGATTGAGTAGATGAAATAGGGTGTAAGAGTGGGGGGTTTGGGGGGGGGGGTTTGTTTGGGGGGGGATTTTTGATTGGATATTAGTTAGTTTGGGTTAGTTTTTGTTGATTGGATAAATTGGGGGTTTTTGGGGGTTTTTAGAAGAGGGTATTTTTGTAAGATTGATGTTTGTGTTGGGGGTTTATTTAAGTTGGTTAGATGGGTTTGGGGTTTGATTGTTTTGGGGGGTTGAATTAGGGGGGATGATAATTTTAGTGTGTAGGGGTGGGTTGGTGAGTTTGGGATGGGTGTTATTTGATGGATTTAGATAAATTATTGATTGGGGTAAAGGAGGTGGGATTGGGGGGGGGGGGATTGTTGATAATTAATTGGGGTGGTTATGTGGAGATTTTTTGTTTATGGTGGTGGTATAAAAGTTTGTTTTTGAAGATGGAGGTTTTTTGGTAGATTTTGGATAGGGTAATTGTGGGGGGTTGGGTTGGGGGGTTGTTGTTGGGATTGGTGGGGGGGGAGAGTTGTAAAAGATTGGTTGATGGGGTTTAGAGTGAAAAGGGGTTTGGTTGGGTTTGTTGAATTTTTTGAGTTTTTATTTTTTGAATGTTTGTTAAAATGAGAGGGGTAAAATTTTTTAAAAGTTTTTTTGTTTGTAGGGGGATTGTTTTGGGTGATAGGGGGTGTGTAAGTTTAAATGTGATATATGAAGTAAAATTTAAAATGGATGTTAGATAGAATAGTGGGTTTTTATAAATTGGGTGAAAAAGGGGATAGATTAAGTTTTTGGGTGGGGGGGGGGGTTTAGTGATGTTTGGATTATTTGGGTGTATTTTTAAATTGGGGGGGTGGTGTGTGGGGGATGTTTGTGGTTTAGTTTTTTTTGGTAATTGTGGTTTTGTTTTATTATATTTTGGGTTTGAATGTAGGTTGTTAAGTGGAGGGGGGTTGATGTAGTGAAGTTAAGTTAGAAGTAAAATTAAGGGGATTAGGTGGGGATGGTTATGTGATATTATTATATTTTAAATAATTTGGTTTGGGGGTGAGTTTGAAAGTATGTTTGTTTGGGGGTGGGTATTTTGGGAATAAAATAGTTTATAGGTGTATAGGTTAAATAATATGTTAGTAGATAGATAGGGAGGGGTGTTGATTGGAATGATAGGAAAATGTAGATTTTATAAATAGGATATAAATAGGGATTGGGGATTTAGTTGGTTTTAAGTTGGGGGATTGGTGAAATTAGGTTTAAAAAAATAAATGGGGGAGTTGGAAGGTGTGAGGGGTGGGGTTTTTGTTGGCTAGTTGGGGGTTATGGGAAGGGGAATAGGAAAATGGGTTAGTGGGACAATTAATAATGGAATGGTGGGGAAAAAAAGGAAAAAAAAAAAAAAGGTGGGTAAAGGTTTTATAAAAAAAATGGGGTCGATGTAAAATGGTAATTAATGGTGGGAGGTTTGTGGTTGTTTTTGAGGTTTTAGGTTTGTATGTTGGGAAATAATTAAAAGATTTTTGTGGGGTGAATTTGGAAAAAAAAGGGTAAGTTAGGTGAAGGGTAAAAGTGTGAAATAGATTGTGTAATGAAAAGGAGGGGGTTATTGATATTTTGATTTAATTTAAAATAGGTTAATAGGGGGAAAGGTGTTGGGGTGTGGGTGAGATAAAAAAAAAAGTTGGATTAGGGATTTGGGGAAATTTGGTTGTGAAAATAAAGGGGGGGTTTTTATTAGGGTGTGTGGTTATTATGGGGTTGTTGATATGGGGTTTTTTTGGAGTTGGGGTTTTGTATAAGGAAAAAAAATTTTGGGGGG